TCAAGAATACTCTGAGCAGCCTCCAGCATTTGCTTCCCGGCATCAGGCTTAGTTAGCTACACCTCTCAGGCATTCATATATGCCTTTTACCCACCAAGGAAAGAAAGGGCTACATTGCAGTTCAGACTCAATCTTAAAGGATAACATTCCTAGATTCAATAAATATACTTCTCATGGAAAATAACTGATGTCTCACAGGAGGGTACACGAGCCATGTGATAAATGGTGAAAGGTGCTCCAAAGCCCCAGTGGGTGAGGAAATAACCCCCGACCCTGCCTGTCGCATAGGTGATTGGGGATGGGAATATAAAGATAGAGAGGAAGCAGCACTGCTGATGGCTACCTAGGGAGAAAAGGGCGTGTGTCCTTCCCCTTCCAGCTACCTAAGAAGCTGGAAAGGTCTGTGGCAACTGAGATCTACTGTTCTAAATGACTTGTTTTTGTCTGGAATCCTTTGTTTAGGAATCAATAAAAGAAGGCCCTGAGGAAAAGGATGGTAACTCTGCTGCTGGTGAGAGTGTTATTAATCTTCTCTGGTTGATGGTTCTGCCCACCGGCACACAACATGGTATAAAACAAAACCAAAAAGACTTTTTGAGATTTACTGTGCCTTATAATACAAAATCCCATTAAAAATTCTCTTTACTCTTAATATTCCTTATAAATATTGTTGAATAATTTGGGGGCAAAGATTTTCAAAACCAGCTGCCTAATGTTAGGTCCTGAATCTACATTTTAGGTAGCTGCCCAATTTGTCAAGGTGTAGAACATCCAATATCTCAACAGCATGTTCTGAGCAGCTGTGGGGTGCTCAGCACTTTTGAAAAGCAGGCAGACTATTGTTTTTTTAAAAAATCTTGGTCTTGTGGCTCACTACAGCTCCAGATATAACCCTCTGACAGCGTTACAAACAGAAGGATCTTATACAGGTTAGACAGCAGCAGATATTTTGCACTGTAGGAGTTCCACCTAAGGAAATACATTTTCTGAGGGGAAATACCTATGCATTTTTATTCCAGATATGACAAAACCTTAGAAATCAGAAAGAGTTCTTACTAAACTTTGAAGTAGTGTGACTATGCAATTTATAAACAGGATATTGTTTTCTATTTTTTACTAATTTGATTCATGGAGGGGAGGGAATTGCTTTGTTTAGTGAGTGGAATTTTGAAAGTTTCATGATGCAGACTAATATTTTTGCAAACTCGAATGCATTTTCTCTTTTTTTTATTAGCTTCCACAAAGGGTTTTCCATGTTCCCTGAGCAAATAAAAAACAGAAGCAATTTGTACTCCCATACATATTTCTTTGGCTTCCTTACTGACATGTTCTAAATAAGCATTCTTACCAAAAGTATATGCTAATCAATAATAGAGAAAAAAATGTAAGACTGCAGCTGCATAAAACAACCCCAAAACTGAGTGACCCCAGCAGAACGGAGAGAAGGCAACAGAGAATTAGAAGCAGGGTGTCTGGTGGCATGGGAAGAGTTATTTGCATGTATTCTTTGTCCCTCTGAGTTTGGGCAAATCTTTCCCTCAGTAGATCAGCCCACTGCACAGGCAGTTTATCTGATCTTCTGGGACTCGCCATATGTAGCAGCCTGAATAAGATGACACTCAGCTACACGTCTCATTAAATATCCTATAGTGGTGAGTTCATTATACAGTGCATAATATAAGATTCTTTTATTAAAGTCAAGGTTGTGCAAGCTTGTCATAAAACTGAGAACTTTCAGAGCCAATATCTGATCTCCACTACGCTAGTGTAAATCCAAAGTAGCTTTGCAGAAGTCAAAAGAAATACACCTGTGTAACTGAAATCAGATATTGATTCTAGGTGCTTTGAGGTTTTTCTTCACAAGATTAACTTTGGGGTTTGGCGGGGTGGGGGAAGCAGGTTTGATGACTGAAGGAAAGATCATTTTACCTTCTACTGAACAGTGCCTCTTCTGTTTGTCCTTGTAATGATCCTTTCATGTATCTTCATTTCTGATCCTGAACTGTTGTGTAGTGTTGCTGTGCACTGCCTAATTGCTGTTGCCTTTCACACCAGAGACTGCCTGCCAGAGACAGAGGAGTTGTTCCATACATATATCCAACTTCTCTCCTCAAATATACTGAGAGTTTGTTCTCCAGAACAGAATATGATCTGTAAGGGTCTGATCAGAAGACTCCCATTGACTTCAATGGGCTTTGGCACAAGCCTCAAGTATGTAAAGTGCTTTAAGATCAGAGGCAGTGATAGCACATTAGGGGCCCTAAGCAGGAATATTTTTGAAGGCCCCCCACAACACTGACAGCCTGAGCCCTGCCGTATGGGGCTGAAATCGCAGAGTTCACATAAAATCACAGAATCGGTGACCTCCGTGACTGACTTGTAGCCTTAGTAATAGTAAAAAGTGAATAAGGGGCCACCTTGAGTTGCTTGGGCTCTAAGCAATTGCTTAGTCTGCTTATGCCTAGCGCCGGCACTGTTTGAGATCCTTCTGGAAATAAGGTGGTATATAAATGTAAGTCGCTTTCATTACGAGCGTGGAACAGTAAATTGTCAAATAATTAATATGGGAAAGAAGTTAAGTCTGAGTAGCATAGAAGCCCCAGAGATTGGGGAGTAATAAATTAAAGCATTTCTTCTCATTTTAGTGGCTCATATCCTTGCCTTCTGACTCTTTTGCTGGATGGCAGTAAGACAGGCTCATTTGTAAAGGAAGTTCATAGACGTTTTTCGTATAAGTTAAATATGGAAAATTAGCTGATGGCAAAATAACATTTTAAAGGGAAAGAAAAAAATGATTAGACAAGTCACTTGATTCTGTTGTAGCATTATAAAGAAAATATAACTTCATGGAAATATAATGCTTAACAGGACTCAAAGATGTGGAGACTAAATTATTCTCTGAACTCTACCTCAAGGTGTAAATACATGGCCCATGTGGTGTGGTGAACCTTGCATCTCTGATGTTTTTCTGTGGATGTAGGACTCTGGTCTTTGGGGTGCCACAGCACTAAATTCCCTTATTATTGATTATTATTTTTTCTATAACACTTTAATTGCATGGGACACAAACAGTAGGTAGTCTGTGAAGAACACAAGCCCTATCCTGAAGAGTTCCATAGACTAAACAAGAAATCCACATGCACTGAAAATAATGTTAAAGACCAGGGAAATTCAGAGGCATCCCTTTCCATTCTTAATGCTTAGCCGTAAGACTATGTGTTAGGATATAGATATTCAGGCCTGTCTGTAAAGGCCTATACTCTAAGAATTTAGGTGTATTCTTATCACTTAGCTAGTTGTAGAGGTATAAAAGAAAGAATCAAAATCATTGTCTTCCGGTGTAAGGGCCTTCTCTTACTGTGACAGTCTGAGGCCCTGTTCTTAGGCTAAGATCTTTGGCTAAGCAGCAGAGGCAGCCATAAGCAAAAGGTCACATCCTCACATTCCAAACTAGTCACATTGAAATAAAGTGCTATAGGGCTGTTAGGAATACAATCCTGTCCTGATAATGCCTATCACCTCCAGAGAAAGGGAAGTGCCTAAAAAATGTAAAAGGAAACTTAGTTTGATAGCAACCTGTCTGGCAAGAACTCACTTATTAATAGCTGGGATGTGAAATCCTCATTTCTCTGTTGTTCTATCATTGTAGTCCCCATTTCCCTATTGTTTGTCTGTATAATGTCTGTCTGGTTCTGTGATTGTTTCTGTCTGCTGTATAATTAATTTTGCTGGGTGTAAACTAATTAAGGTGGTGGGAAATAATTGGTTAAATAATCATGTTACAATATGTTAGGATTGGTTAGTTAAATTTCAGTAAAATGATTGGTTAAGGTATAGCTAAGCAGATCTCAAGTTTTACTATATAGTCTGCAGTCAATCAGGAAGTAAGAGTGGGGGAATGGGAACAGGGAATGGGGTGGGGAAATTGGAATCATGTTTTGCTAAGGGGGGGAATGGGAACAGGGACACAGGTAAGGCTCTGTGGTACCAGAGCTGGGAAAGGGGACACTCAGGAAGGAAACTGGAATCATGCTTGCTGGAAGTTCACCCCAATAAACATCAAATTGTTTGCACCTTTGAACTGCGGGTATTGCTGCTCTCTGTTCATGCGAGAAGGACCAGGGAAGTGTGTGTGTGAAGGAATAAGCACCCTAACACTATGTATTGCAGATTGCAAGGGCCCACATTGCTTTTCTGAAAGCCCCCCAAACCTGGCCGTGAGGCTATTTTTAAAGGTCAGCTGCTCAAAATACTCAGGTTTGAATTTATTTTCTTTTTGCTATCCAAGTACTTGAGAGAAAGTCATTAATTTGTTTCATATATAAGGAGCATTGCTTTCTTTTTCCTGTCATCTCCAAATGACCCATCTTCTGGAAAGAAATGAGTACAAACAACCCTAACATTTCTTTCTGGAAAGGAATGGAGAGAGGTATGATGGGAGAGAATTTTTTTTTCCAGAGTAGGATGTTGGAAGGATTTGACATTCAAATCCAAATGTAATAGCTGGACCTTTTCCCCTCTAGTTTTAAACACCCCAAACTTTGTGTAGAGAGTTTCAAGCAATGTGATTCTGTATATTTGATTGTATAATGGGTTGAACCAAAGCTCCGGATCTGAACTCTTTTCCCAAACTTTGTGGTGTTCAAAATCTGCTCTGAATTTTGCTGCTTGGTCCATCTCTGTTTCTGGGCTTGGTCAATTATGCCCTGGTTTTATTAGGCCAGGGGATTTCACCTTTGGCCTAAATCATAAACACCTGAAAAGCAGAAGCTGAAAATTTATGAAGGAAACACTAAAGAGCCCCTTATCTACAGTGACAAAATTGCTACCACCATAATCTCTATTAAGTGCTACAAAATTACAGTGTAACAGCTCTGAAATTACTTGTGACATCTGCATGAATACCAAATCGATTCATTATGTTCAGTCCTATTACAAAAAGCACTTACTGAATTTGTACTGATTACAACCCTTACAAATTAACAGTTACCCAAGCACACTCACTTTCCAATGTACATATATTATTTAAAGATTACAGTTCAGTTTAACAGAGGTAACAGCAAAATAATATTGCCACTCAGGGTGGAGTACCATTTCTGTATACAGTACCCCAATTTCTAAAGCTTTTTTAAAGCGGTTGAATTTCAGATAGAAAAGTCTTTCTTTCTTTCTTCTTTTTTTTTTTGGTTAAGTGCAGCATGTCATTCTCCCACTCTCTCTCAAGAAGTGAAGTCTAAAGAAAAAAAAAAGGAAAATGATAAATGTCCACATTATGCAGAATTTGCCTTTTTGAAATCCCATTCCCCATTGAGCAAGCCAGAATTTTATAGAGATATAAATCACAAAGAAATAAGAAGCCAGTAATGAGATAGAAGTATATTTGAAATATGGATGCAAATCCTCACCACCTGCTGAACAAAAAATAGTCTTTGGAGACTGTCCTGAAAACTGAACTGCCATTAACATCTTGTAAGCACTAAATTTGCAGCAGAAGAATAGTGGAATTATATCCCTGTGAAATGCCAAAGGCTTCCCTGATTTATCTCTAAGCAGAACGTTTCAGCCACATCTACATAAATATTTTAATAGGAATTTAATTTTAATTTTAGTCACACAATAAATCTTTTTATTGAATGACATCATTTTGTCCTAAACTAGTTGCCTTTTGTGTGCTCGCGTGCACAATATGTGTTCATTCTTTTGGGTCTGACAAATACAATTTCATATATCATATACTAAGTATCAGTGGGTTTATTTCCACAAGTGTCTTGCCACAGGCTGTTTAATTTTATCTAGAACTTCTATTTATTTAGACACAATTTATCTGGCAGCTACCAATTGACTTGTATCTAAACTCATACATCCCAGCTTTGGAACCCTAGGGCATAACGCAATAGAACAAAAAAGGAAATCTATTTAATGCTGCAAGTGTATGTACTTATTGGGTTGGGTTATATATGCATTGGCTGTGGAAGAATAGAGGAAGCTGACTACTTCATCTTATTGTCAGTGTATTTTATAAATAGCTGTGTGAACACAGGTAATTCTTGTCTGAATCATATATTACTTACTGTGCATTTCAGATGCCATTGCTGCTGTTTGATGATCATGTAACATTAGAAACAGCAAAAATGCATAGCCAGTCACTTAGAATGTCTCCAGAGGACATTAAGACAATGATGGACTAGTTTACTGCTAGCAGGAAAAAAGACTGTAAGCTCATGACCATACAAAGTCCACCTGGAGCAGGGGTAGAGAGGTGCAAGTTACCTGTAAGCCCTATTCTGTTGAGGAGAGTGGAGCTGACTGGCACAACCCACTGAGTAGGCTGGTAAGTGCACATGAGAGATGTTCTGATACAGCAGGTTTGTCCCGCAGCCTCTGTTGTTGGAGGCTCATGGAGCCTTAGTCAGAATAGAAAGTTACTCCCTGCTGGTAGAAGGTGGGAGTCGGGGTTATACACTGTGTAGAATCCTGCTTAGGTGTTGCGGCTCCCTTCTGCGCAAAGGGTACAAATTGCTCTTCCCTGCACTCACAGGGATGAATTACCCCCCATATATTTAATCTGAAAGTGTAACTCAGAGCACTTACTATGGCACTTGACTGGGGACAGTCAAACATACAAATAACACAAACAAAATTGGTAGTTACAAGTAGATATTAAGGGGGAGACGTTCAAAGGCACAAATACCCAGCTTCCACTGAAAGTCTAATTATATCTAATCAAGTCTTTCACTGGATGCTGGGCACCTAACTCCCACTGGTGCCTTTGAAATCTTCCCATAAAACTTTCCGGCTTTATGATTATTCAAAATCAGACCTCGACATATTGTTTGGTGGTCCAGTGGTTACCGGGGTAGGCTTTAACCTTTGGAAGCCCAATTTTAAATTCGACTGAGGTAGAAAGCAGTAACCTTAAATGATTCAGAGATGTGGGCTCTAATAAGCAGTCAAAAGTTCAAATGATGATCTGAAGCTTTTGGTAATACAACCACCTGTTCTAAGGAGATATAGAGGATTTTGGGCAGTAGGTGGTTGTCTAATCAGAACCACAGTAAATTAACCAAATTGACTAAAAAAATGTAGGAAAGAATACACACACGATTTACCATAAACCTGGGCATTTTCAGAAACACTGTTAAATACACTGCTAACAAAGCACAGATGTGTAAAATTTAAATGGGTGGTGATGAAAACTTATATACAGAATAAGAGTCCCCATTATAGGATAGGCTAGAACAGAATGCAAAGCAATTGCAGTCCATCCCTGTCTGCTTCTCATCCTTGATCTGAAAGATCATTTGTAATTGTCTTCAGGCTTATTCAGTCTTTGGCCTCTGTATTAAGATTGCTGAGACACCCCCCTCCCCAGTTAACCTTTTGTATTTCTTTCCCTTGCTCTTTCCATTTCCATGACTGTCATGAGAACTTAATGATCTTATCCAGGTGAAGCCTATTTCATTCCACATTATATTGAAGACTATCAAAGCAAAGATTTCTGTAACATTTATTATATAGAGAAAAACATTTTTTTAAAACAGAAGTCTACTCAAAGCCAACACGGCCTCTCCTATGTAGCTCTTAAATTGTTATTTTGCAGGGCTGTTTTTATAGTAATTAATAGGAACAAAGGAATGGCCAAAGTGGGTCAGATCTAGCCCAGTATCCTGTCTTCTGACAGCAGCTGGTGCCAGATGCTTTAGAGGGAATGAACAGAACAGAGCAATTATTGAGTGATTCATCCTATCATCCAGTCCAGCTTCTGATAGTCAAGGTTTAGGGATATCAGGAGCATGGGGTTTTGTCCCTGACCATCTTGGCTAATAACCATTGATGGACCTATCCTCCAGGAACTTCTCTAATTCTTTTTTTAACCCAGTCATACTTTTGGTTTTCACAACATCCCATGACAATGAGTTCCACAAGTTGACTATCCATTGTGTGAAGAAGTACTTTATGCTTGTTTGAAACCTGCTGCCTATTAATTTCATTCATTGTGTGACCCTGGTTCTTGTGTTAAGAGAAGGGGCTAATAACACTTCATTACTCATTTTCTCCACACCATTTATGATTTTATAGACCTCTATCATATTCCACCTTAGTCATCTCTTTTTTAAGTTGAATAGTCCCAGTCATTTTAATCTCTCCTCATATGGAAGTTGTTCCATATACCTAATAATTTCAGATGCTCTTCTCTGTACTTTTTCCAATTCTAATATATCTTTTTTGAGTTGGGGCAACCAGAACTGCACACAGTATTGAAGGTGTGGGCATACAATGGATTTATATAGTAACATTATGATATTTTCTGTCTTATTATCTCTCCCTTTCTTAATGGTTCCTAACATTCTGTTAGCATTTTTGACTGCTACTACACATTGAACAGATGTTTTCAGAGAACTGTACACCATGACTCCAAGATCTCTTTTTTGAGTGGTAAAACCTAATTTAGACTCCATCATTTAGTATGTATAGTGGGGATTATGTTTTCCAATGTGCATTACTTTGCACTTATCAACATTGAATTTCATCTGCCATTTTGTTGCCCCATCACCTAGTTTTGTGAGATCCCTTTGTAACTCTCTGCAGTCAGCTTTGGATTTAACTATCTTGAGTACTTTTGTTTCATCTGCAAATTTGCCACCTCACTGTTTATCCCCTTTTCCAGATCATTTATGAAAATGTTGAAAAGCACTGGTCCCTGTACAGATCTCTTGAGGGACCCCACTGTTTACTTCTCTTTCCAGTGAAAACTGACCATTTATTCCTACCCTTTGTTTCCTGTCTTTGTTTCCTGTCAACCAGTTATTGATCCATGAGACTTCCCTCTTATACCATGACTGCTTACTTTGTTTAAAATCCTTTAGTGTGGGACGTTGTCAAAGGCTTTCTGAAAGTCCAAATACATTATATAGACTGGAATACTCTTGTCCACATGGTTGTTGACACCCACAAAAAGTTCTGATAGATGGGCGAGGCGTGATTTCCCTTTACAAATGCTATGTTGACTCTTCCCCAACATATCATGTTTATCTGTGTGTCTGATAATTCTGTTCTTTAGTATAGTTTCGACCAATTTTCCTGGTACTGAAATTAGGTTTACTGGCCTGTAATTTCCAGGATTGCCTCTGGAACCTTTTTTGAAAATCCATGTTACATTAGCTATCCTTCAGCCATATGGTACAGAGGCTGAATTAAGCTATAGATTGCATACCACAGTTAGTAGTTCTGAAATTTCATATTTGAATTCCTTCAGAACTCTTGGGTGAATATCATCTGGCCTTGGTGACTTACTACTGTTTAATTTATCAATTTGTTCCACAATCTCCTCTATTGACTCTCAATCTGTGACAGTTCATCAGATTTGTCACTGAAAAAGAATATGACTCAGGTGTGGGAATCTGCTACACATTATCTGCAGTGAAGACTAAAGCAAAGAGTTCATTTAGCTTCTTCTCAGTGGCTTGTCTTCCTTGAGTGCTCCTTTAGCAACCTGATTATCCAGTGGCCCCACTGACTTTTTGGCAGCCTTCCTGTTTCCCATATGTTTGAAAAAAATGTTTGCTGTTAATTTTTTTGTCTTTTGCTAGTTGCTCTTCAAATTCTTTTCTGACCTGCTTAATTATATTTTTATTCTTGACTGGCTCTTTCTATTTTACTTATTAGGGTATGACTTCCAGTTTTTAAAATTATGTCCTTTTGTCTCTAACTGCCTCTTTAACTCTGTTGTTTAGCCATGATGGCATTTCTTTTTGTCCTCTTATTGCTTTTATTTTTTTTATTTGGGGTATACATCTAGTTTGAGCCTCTATTATGGTGTTTATAAATAGTTATGATGCAGCCTGCAGGCATTTCAGTCTTGTGACTGTTCCTTTTAATTCCCATTTAACTAACTTCCTCATTTTTTTGTAGTTCTTTAACTTTTTTGAAGTTAAATGCTACTGTGGTGGGTTTCTTAGGCATTTCCCCCCTACAAAGATGTTCAATATAATGATATTATGGTTGTTATTACTGAGTAGTTCAGCTATATTTATCTCTTGACCCAGATCCTGTGTGCCTACCTTCACACCCAGCTGTAAATTCACCATACGGTTCTCCCAGTCATCACAAACCCAACTATCTATACTTGTAATAATCAATCCCGCATTACTATTACCCAGTTGTTCCTAATAACTGGGGTTCCTTTGCCCGGAGGGGTATCCTCAGCATGAAAGAATGCTGTGACATCATCTGAAAGAATGAACACAAAAGAATGTTACAACTTTAGATTCAACAAGGCATTGTATTTTTTCCCCATTCCTAGATGCTTTGATCAAATAGGAGACAAAGCAGGCACCACTTGTTTTATTTATATGTACAACAGAAACAGATAATTAATCCTTCAATTGCTGGATTATATTTGCTAAGCACATTAACACCCTCCAATAAATAATAACAAAACTTCATGCCTATATCGTGCCCTCCATCCCAGAAATTCAGAGTGCTTTGAACATTCACGAATTGAGTCTGGGAAATGGGGAAATATTACCTTCATTTTACAGACAGATGGATCGGTCAGAGAGAGGATAAATGAGTTCTCCAAGGTTTCAGAGGAAGTCTATATGAGAAACAAGGAGCGAGCCATCTCACCACAGGGACAAAAGGCTATATTCTGAAGGAGTGCAAACACTCTTTACATTTTCTTCCTGGATCAGCTCAAAGATATTTAGTGCAGATATTTCTGTAATTGTGACATAATGGGAAAATTCATTGTTCAGGGGTCCTTAGATTTACAGTTCATTTTATATGGCATATGTATAGACTACAGTGGGCTATGTTATAAAATATTTGGGAATACTGGCTGGCTCCAGACCTGGAAAAGGATTTTCCTTTTTTTTTTTTCTTATGCCATCTGTCCCTCTTTATTCACTTAAATGTGATTTGTTTCTGCATTCAGATGGAGTGAAATCTACTCCCTCCACCTAAAGCCCAAAGACTTGAGGACCTCACACAGATGCACTGTAAGGGAATTGGGGAGGTGAACCTCCTCACCCACAGTTCAGGGTAAAGGTGCAGAAGAATTAAAATTGCCTATAAAGTTGTAAAACTTGCATTTGGTGACAGCTAAAGACCTTGAGATTGACCATATCTGAGATTCAGGCAGCTGAAATTTGGACAAGAGTTAAAAAACCCAGAAGGAATTTTTTCAGCATTTCATGAAATGTTATCCAAAATGAAATTCTTCCCCCTTGCTCATTTCAAATACACACTAATGGTGAAGGTTCCATCTTGGCTGGAAAATGGATGAGTGTTTTAACTGTGTCAGGAGACAACTACATTTCAATTGACCCCCTGAGATGGTTTTGTTTGTAGTGTAGATAAGGCCTTTACCTTGAGGCTGAATTCTTCTCCATTACTCTGCTAGGTTAATGTGTGCAGCCTTCTTTATTTCATTGCTCTGTTCTTTATATAGCTTTATGTTCAGATGGAACCTTGAAGCTCACAGTTCTCTGATGGCTTTCTGTGCTTCACAGGTTCATCACTCCAAAGTTTTGGATAATGTATGATCTGACGGTCAGACAAAGGGGAGTATCATTTTTTTTTCATCACCCTCTGATGAGCTTCTCTCTATCTAGTCTCTGAATTTCGAAAAAATCCCATGAGACTGCATTCGTAACTCAGATTCCAAAATGTCCTATTAGTTCATTTTTTCCCCACGGAGTTAGAAAAGACAAAGATTTCCCAAAGGGAGGGGGAAAAAAAAAGGTTTGCTTTTGAGAAGCTACAAAACTCTTTGCTATATCTGAATAGGTGATTGAATAGGTAGCTGTTAGATCTGCTGCTGTCTTGACTAGGAAAAGTGTCAGCAAGGCTACCTTTTATGCAGGATATCACCTGCAATTTGATAACAACAGACTGAACATCTAATTACCTTGTGTATGAACTGCAGTGGTTTTACATCTTTTATAAGAGATATGTGTTAAGATACTTTTGACATTTTCCTTCTAGGTTCTTCCAAGTGCAACTCATCCTGTACAGTATCTGTCCACACAGAGTTGGAGCAAGATGCAGATCTCAGATCTACCAGTGGAAATTAGGAGAAACTCCACTGATATCTACAAAGTTACGTTAGTGTAAAACTGACCTGAGTGAGATCAGAATTAGTCCTTTGTTCTTTACATCTTTCTGAGAGACCTTTAATAGTGGTCAAAACTTGATTAAAAACATTCAAGAAAAATTTTAGAAATGGTCCTGAACCAAAACCCAGATCCAATCATCCTTAAAATGTAAGGAAGCTCAGATCTAAATCCCATCTGTTGGCCATGGTTATTTGTGGTTCACCACGTCTTCTTAATCCAAGAGACAGTGCTCTGTATATAGTATATTTAGAATGCAATGGTGGAAGGGAAAAAAGTATAAACACTCTGAGGCAGATCCATTTGAAATCAATGGAGCTATGCCAGTTTATATCACCTGAGGATTTACCCCTTTGCATTTACGTAGTGTGAGTCAAACAATGCTCATTTCCCCCCTCAAAGCCATAGTAGAAAGGGGCTGAGGAGATTTTGTGTCTGGGCTGGTAAGTTTCCAGGAGAGTTTTGCAAAACTGAATTAGCACATGCTGATCAAACAGTTTATCAAACCCCTTTAAATTTACCGGGCCAAATTGTAACTGGCCCTCCATAGTGTGCAAAGCGTTGAGAGTTGAGGATCCAGGAATCTTCCCCCTCTATTTTGTCGTGGACAGTGTGGCTGGGGACAACTGATGCTGCTCCATGCTAGCACCAGCAGTGGCACTAGCTATTAGAGGGGTAAAGGAAATGAGGGTGGGACCATGCCTCACTGCCTCCTGAATCTGGGCTGCACAGCACACACTGGATCTATTTAAAGGGCTGCACAGCTGCTGCATGCACTCCCCAGGAAGAATTCTCTCTGATTCAGGCAGAAAGGGGCAGCAAAGGATCCCCCAGAGAACACTGGGGTTGCACAAAGCACAAGTAGTCAACTTTACACCACAGGCTGTGCCTCCCCTCCAATCGCCGGGTAAGAGTGCGCTGGGCATGGGTAGGTGTGTATTTTGGGGAAGGTCAGAGTGCATCGTATCTCCCAGATCTTCAGCTGGTACAGCAGCTAACTGCATTCCTAAGTCTGCTTTCAGTTATGCCAGTGGGCGTTTTGGCTTCTGGCTAGCTCAGGACTGGGGGGAACAGAAAGGTGGCTTTTAGTTTTAGCCATACCTCCCACCAGCTGCAATCCCAGAATTCCTCTTGGAGACTCCTTTGATTCAGCCTCACTGCTGTTTCCATAACACAAGACTGTGTCTTTGGTCCATGGGTTGTTCTCTTCAAGGACTGGATAATAAGGTCTGTAGATTTACTGTGCGACTCGCCAATGGAAACAAACTAATAACAACAACATCAGTGTACAAGGCAAGAGGGAGAGTGGAAGAAATCCCTCAGATAGATTTCATATGCCAAACCTAATATTGAAATATAGGTGCTTGTCTAACACAGGAGCTCTGCTCAGCAGAGCAATTGTACAAATTGTCTTTGTCTAACGACAATAAAAGACCTGAATCTATGTATTTCCAGGGCAATCTAAAATCTGAGTTTAATATATTGCACTTTCATTTCTGGTCCTAATACAATTGTATAAAAGTCATTTTGTTTAAAAGAACACTTTGCTGCAGATACTGAAGTGCAAAGGGATGGCTTAGAATGTTGCTGGCCATTTCTTAGAAGAAGAGTTGGCTAGAGAAATTCAACTAGGGAAGTTCGTCAACACTTATTTTTACACTATGGTAGCAAATTTCTTACTCTATGCTTATTATTATTCTTATTATTGCCCCTGTGGCCCAAACAGTAAGCCAAAATTTGAGGCCTTGCCGGGTTGCTTCTATTAGGATCAGAAATTGGTGACATGACAGGTATATTCACAATGTAATCATGTTTGTTTTAAAAGGGTGCAAAAAGTCATTGTTCTCTGCCAGTAGAAACCAATATCAACAGACTGTTCCTTATTCAGAAATCCCCAAATCAGCTACTCCAGTGAACTCTGTGCCCAAACAATCCATGTCCCTTAGCTTCTTCTCAGGGTCACACTCACAATTGTTTCTCCTGGCTTTCACTGACTCCAACATACACAGTCTACACCTGCCATGCCTAGGGCAATTGCTTGCTCCATGGATCCCAGTTGTTTTTACTAAATAAAGAGCCTTCATTGCTCCTGTTGAGCCTGAAAGAGTTATACATGGCACACCCATTGGCTTTAATGAGATCTGTGATTGTCTTTGCATTCAAGACACCTGCTGGTGGCCATTAGCCCCTTTCAGAATAACATTATATTGAGTATTTATATTCAAGTAGAACCCAGAGACCCTAATCAGGATCAGGTGCTATATAAACACAAAGGAAGACCTTCTTCCTACTTCAAGTGAAGAGATAAAATCAAAATAGAAATACCTTTATATCTTAAAGGGCCTCAGTGTGGCCCTTATTACTTGGCTGACCTGATTTTGGAAATCACCTAAAAAATCCAGAGGCGTCTTTGATATACAAAAACCCTTCAAAAATCTCTATGAAGGCTCTGAGAGCCTTCTTTAAGATGCTGAGTGACCTCAACTCCCACTGAAGTCCACACCTAGCGGGCTGACTTCCTCCCTTCCATAAAATAACAACTAAAAAAACAACCACCCACCCTAGACTAATTATAATCTGAGAAATACAGTGAGGTACAAATTAATTGCCATGCTGTGGGATAGCCATGATGTAGTTACTACTGTTCCCGAATAGTAATACTGCAGCTACTTTACTGTAATTCACAGTGAGCCACCAGAATCTGCAGTCAATTCACTGTCAATCCGTATATGTATGGTATATGTCATGGCTGCTAATGTGTATCACCAGGTTATTTCCTCTCTTCATCTCTCTCTTCACAGAATCTCCCTAGCAAGCAATGTCAAAATGCTCTGCAACAGTGAATTTTTAAAAAGTTTGACTCGACAAGCAGGTGTTATAGTTAGATGTAAATCTTTGTAAGCTCTTCCAAGAAGAACTACAGAAAGGAGAATTTTGGAGGTGTCATACCAGGGGAGCATAGTGTGATTAATCTATCAAGTTTTCGTGTGAGGAATAAAGAAAAGACCATAAGAAATGGAAGGGTTATATGTCCTGGAAACAAATCTGGACCCATCTACCAATAGCATTATTGAAAAGCTGCAGAATCTTGCACTGAACCTCATATTCCACCAATAACCAGTATTCAGTACTCAGTAGAGTAGCCATGTCTTAGAAATTGGTGAAAGATCCACAGATCTGATACCTTGGATGGTATTCCTCATGAAAGAAAGTGATAAGGAATGCATGTCCCAGAGCTTCAATGTGCACAGAAAAGAATATTGCAATAATTCCATCTGACATTTCACATAGTGCCCTTCACTCCACAATCACCTTGGGGAGGAATCCCTCCCTATGATGGCACAGCACTGAAAGATTCCCCAAAGGCAATATAGAGTCAGTATGCAAAGACATACATGCACTGTTTCTGGGCTCTGAACTAGAAAATACGTTTTACTGACTATCACAGTTTCCCCTCTCTTGAAAGAGCTGCACTTATACCTGAATTCAACATGGTACCTAAGCATGTGTGCAACTTTTGGCATATGAGCAATCCCATTCACATCCAAGTGTTATGCAGATACCTGCACTCTAAATTGCCCAAGTCTACAAATGTCCAGCTTAAAAAGTTATATAAAATTGTTTAGAAAAAATATTACGAGAGAGAGAGAGAGAGAGAGAGAGAGAGAGAGTGGATTAGTTCAAACTGATACCACCCTAAGGATTGTGTTGAGATCTTGACTGTTGAATAACAGGAGAATGGAAACAGAAATTAATGGACCAAAACTGATATGTTGGGAATTAGGCCTAATTTGTGTAAAAAATAATGAAGGGATTTGTAGATTCCCAGGCCAGAAGGGACTACTGTGATCATTTAATCTGATCATCTATATAACACAGGCCACAGAATGTATCCAAAATAGTTCCTAGTGCATATTTTACTAGGGTTGGTGGTGGAGTCTAACTCTCCAGGGTTTGTGGCCCAGGTCTGTGGAGGATCCATGAAGACAATGGCAAATCCAATCAGTGGGACATTTACTACTTAACAACTAACAACTCTGGATGAAGAAAAGGAGTACTCGTGGCACATTAGAGACTAGCAAATTTATTAGAGCATAAGCTTTCGTGGGCTACAGCCCACTTCATCAGATGCATAGAATGGAACATATAGTAAGAAGATATATATTTACACACATACAGAGAAGGTGGAAGTTGCCATACAAACTGTAAGAGGCTAATTAATTAAGATGAACCCAACTCTGGATGGCCCATCTTTCCTGGAAGCCAGCCATGTTTGACCAGCTGGACAACAAAGCATGAGGAGGGGTCAGGTGGGACTAGCTCAGGAATTTGAAAAAGAGGACAAAGGGACAGAGCAGAAGCCAAGAGTGGACACTGTTTGGCTGGGGCTCTGGGTATCCAGAATGGACCATGCTATAACTTTCTTTTCTCTGTGCTGACCAAGAACTTTCTATGCTGTGTTCCAGACATCTAATAAACTCTACTGCTTTTACAACACTGGCTGAGAGTCACTGCAGCTGCTGAAGGTGGCAGTGTTTTGCTCTCTTTGGCTGTACAAGCAGTGGTGGATTAGCCATTGGGCCAACGGAGCCCATGCCCAGGGGGACCAGCCAATTGGGGGTTCCTCCAGAAAAATGGGTGCCCCTGTGCTCCAACCTGCTCTGCCCATCGCCGGGGAGTAGGGGAAGCCCCTGCATCCTGATCTCACTCCCTGACAGGAGTGTCAGGGGGACTGCAGGCAGAAGGGGTAGGGAGGGACCCCCGCTTGCTTTGGCGCAGGGCCTGACAACCCCCTAATCCGCCTCTGTGTACAAATCTCTCTCAGGTGCCTAACTCGGGTGGACTGACTGAAGGGAGCTCATGGTGTGAAGCAGGGGCTCTGAAGGCGCCGAGGTTTAGTTCAAGGGTAAGTACCCTAGCAGCTTATCCGAGTGACAGCGTGAGACACTAAGTGGGTCTGGCACACTAAAAGTATCCTCCGAGGGATTGTTCCATAGCTGTTCCAGAGCACTGGACCTGTGTATCCATGACGGCACCAGATGGATGTTACATGGGCAGGGTGTGAATGTGAGTCCTTGTCACCCAGTGTGGCAATACGTGTTGTACGGGGAACCCTATTGCAGTTCAGGGACCGCACCTTTCCCCTTAGGGCACTTACACAGGGGAGCAGAGGGTGGACATAGCAGGGTAATAAATAGACCATGGGGAACACTGGGTGTCCTGGGAAGTTGGAACTGTATCTGAGACGTCTGGGGTACAAACACCCCTTCTATGGATGTTAATGGTGTTACATTGCTGCTGCAAGCTAATCTGCAGTTGTTGCAGCAGCTGGGAGCGCACATGGGTGCAGGGGTCTGGAATGGGTAGTAATGGAAGCCCAGCATGGGCTCGAGTTTGAGAAACAGGAGATAAGCAGGGCAGGCCCCTTACCAGGGAATGTGATCCCCTAATGGGGGGTAGATTTCTGGGCACCTTTTGATTCACCCATTGACAGGGACTATTCATGGGATAGAACTATTCATGGGATTCTATTCATGGGATAGAACTGCAGTCCCAAGGCTTGCTGGGGGGCAATAGGACATGGAGTGTGCCCCAATGGTCACCCTCGAGTACAGTTACGCTGGGGTGGCTGACTCGATGGAGTTCACCTTCTCAGTACTATCAGGGATAAAATGTTGAGAGGTGAATATGTACACATATTATCATTGTTGCACAGAGAAGTGCTGCCAGACAGTAAGTTGGGGCAGAGCAACAGGGGCAATGAAATGCCCAAGCGGGCACGTATAGCTAGAACATGGGAAAATTGGGAGATTGCCTTCCTGATCTATGTGGGAGTTATTGCAGAGGCTTACCCAGACAGAAGCCCAACACTGATTAAATATATGGATATAATCAGGCTGGCATATAATACGCTTAGGAACATGGCTTGGTTTAATTATGACAAACAGTTTAGATTGAGGCAACCACACAAACTGAGATCTGGTGGGACATATCACATCATGCTCTGTGGTTGGAGTGAATGATGCCACAGGAGCCTGAAGTCCACATGGACAATGGCCTGTTCATTCTGTCACAAGCCCAACAGAGGCCTGCAGCATGTAACAACATTTTCTGGACATTCAATGAAAACATTAGTTTTTGTAGCATCTGCAAATTCAGGCATGCTTGTGAAATGTGCTTTGGAGCCCAGACAGCCTGTTTTTGACAGATCAGTAGAGGAAGGTCACAGTGCGGGAACAGGACTGGGGGTAGGTCAGGTGCTGCACATAGGGAGCAGGAGATGGGGGACAAAACAGAGGCAAGGGTGGGGGGTGAGCTGAAAACAGTGGGTTGGACAAAGGCACCTTCCTCAATTAAGCTGGAGGTGTTAAGGTAATCCCAAAGGAGAACCCTTAACAAGGTAGATGGGGCATATTTGTGGGATTGGTTTACTGTGAGGTTTAGAATCATCTTTATGGGGAAAGGGGGTCAAGTGATGTCTACAAATTTGAAGTCCTTAGTGGAGATGGGTCATATTGTAATGAAAAAGATTACACAGGAATTAAATGAGAATAGGGTAGCAGGGCCATTCAGGCAATTACCTCTACAGAATTTGTGAATTTCTCCCATAGGCATGATCCAAAAGAAGTCCACCACTTCTTTTCCAAGCATGTGCTCAGGACTGATAATGGAATAGCAGATGCATGCCTCATTTTTAGATGGACAGATTTTGGGAACCAGCACCAGGAGCCAGCAAGGAACCCAAACGGACATAGCTAGCTCTATGGAACCTTGGCGTATGATGGCTGTTAGTGTAGTGCAGAGGTCGGTGGCTCCACAAACACTGCAGAGCTGTGGGAGAAGTTTTAATGATTTTGTGCAATTTCAGGATCTGGAAGGCCACTTACCTACATGGCCCATTACAGAGGAACATGTGCTGCAGTAAATGGTATTGTTAGTAACTCGACAACTGGTGACCTCAACTATCTCCAATCACCTATCAGCCCTGACATTTGTAAGTAGCCTGAAGGGCTATATCCTTGCAGCAATTTTTTAATTTGAAGGTTTCTAGGAGGGTGGTCACGCAGCACTGACCCCTGACTTCAGGAAGCATACACATTGTCCTATCACAGTTGCTACTCTTAGGGATTTGGTGTGGATCCTGGAGAATATATGTCATATATATCCTGTCCACAGTGAACAGGCGGTGGCCTTATTCAGGGCGGCAAGTTTGGTATCACTTTTTGGATTTTTTAGGATCAGAGAATTTGTACCTCGGTCCTGTAAGGATTTTTCTGAAAGGGCTTTGGAACTGTTGGATATACACTGGGAGGGGCAAATAGTTATAGTAGAAGTCAAAGACAGATCAAGAAGGCTGGGGTGAATCCATTATCCTATGGGAGGGTGGTGAACCCAGGGTCTGCCTAGTGGAGGCTTTGATAGCCTACGTGGTGATAAGAATGGGGATGGGTGTGCCCCTCTTTATGCACAGAGACAGGAGTCCCCTCACAGCATATGAGTTTGTTACAGTGTTGAGATGGGGACTGATGAGATTGGGGCTCCCAGACCATGAATTTGGTTCCCACTCATTCAGGATTGGGGTTGCAACATCATCGGCACAGACAGGTATGGGGACTAGGCAATTGGACATTGACATTTGGAAGCATACAGAACGTACATGAGACCCCAGTAGGCAATCAGCATGGGCGGCGGGTGAACCCCTGCTTTGGGGAGGCTAGCCTGCTGGCCAGCCCCTTCCATCTAAGGCCACCACCCCGCACACCAGAGCCTCGAACCCTCCCCCAACCCATAAAAGGAGAAGCTCTGAGGAGTCCCGGCCCGCCAACCCCAACTGCATTGGGCCAAGCTGCCGCCACCAGCCACCTGACCCTCCTCAGATGACTGGCCAAGGAGGAGGGATGCAGCGAGCAGTGGGGACCTGGGGTGGGGTGTGTGTGGAGTGGAGGAGGCAATGTGGGTCTCAGGGAAGGGTGGCTTCAGGTGTCAGGTCAGCGGCAGCACCAGGGAAGGCTAAGCCTTCCCTGGCCTCTTATACCCGCCACCCATGGCAATCAGTGCTAATTTTCCTTTGTGTTTTCGTTCCAGATGCAGGAAGACAGACCAGGCAGATTGTTCTGTGGATCTGTGGTCACAGTATTGCTTTCTGGGTACATAGGCATGCTTCCAGGTTCACAACTCGGTCTCAGTAATGAAGCCGTCCTGAGATGGCATGGAAGGAGGGGTGTATTATGGAACCAGCTGATGCCCCTTCTGTACTCCGTAGTGGCCTGTGAGTGTGCACCAGATATGATTGTGGTTCACCTTGGGGAAAATGCTCTGGTAACATGTAAAGGGATAGCCTTAATACTCAGTGCTAAGAGGGACTTGGGACAGATCTTGGAACTTTTCCCAGGTGTAAAAACACTTTTATGGCTGGACAAGCTGCAGTGCTGGGTGTAGTGGGGAGCTATGATGTCCCCACGGTCGACAAGGCTAGGACGCATGTGAATAGGGAGGTGGCTAAATTCATGGGAGTTATAAGAGGGGTTGGTAACTTCACATCCCGACATAGCATATGGGACCCCAAAATTATTCAGGGAGAATGGGGTTCACTTGTCAGACTTGGGGGCTGACACGGTTTTGGCTGATATTAAAGGGGGCATTAGGGGATATCTGGGAACCCGGCTGTATATAGGGTGGGAGGCAGCCAAGCTAATTGAGGCTGCCTCCTTGCGGCAGATGTCCAGTGCAGGTACTCTGTAGGGAAGGGATACAGTAACCAGATAAAGAGATTGGTAAAAGATGTAAAGGAGCTATTCGTTAAAGGAGTGGGCACGGGGGTAGAGGGGTTCAGTGCTCCTATGACTAGCACAGCAGGAAGCCAACCCCCCTCCTTTGTAGCCTACATTTACCCTCATTTGAGGGGTGAGGATGGTAAGGTCCCAGCAGTGGGTTGGCTAAGGACCAGGATGGGAAAATAGGGGGAGGCTGACAGAAGCCCCCGGGCATATATTGAAATGATCATAGAATTATCTGCACTGTACACTAATTTGTCAGCAACTCTCAGACAGTTAATAATAAAGTTGGGGTCTAATAAAACCACATCCAGTGTCTCCTGGCGTCCTCCCAGTACAGCTGAACAATGCCATACTAGCCTGATCTGATGTGACTTGCCAAGCATTTCTGCTTTTGAGCAGCAACAGCACACACTTCTCGGAATTTGTGAAACTAAAACATAAGAGTGGTAAGAATCTAGTCTCCCTGAACAAAAAAGCCTTGATATTACATTACTGAGGCATCTCACTAATGTGGGTTTCTCCCGCAGATGAAAGATTGCAGTCTGAAATACTAATAATGAAGATGTGCGCACAGGCACTTAATGCTCTAGAACAGCCAAATGAAGGCCAAGCACATCACTGCTTCATTCTGCAAAGATATTTCCCCCTGTTCTATTTATCGTAGCAATGCACTTGGATTCCAATTAATTTCATTCAAAAAGATCCAAAGCTGTTTTTTCCCCTCTGTCCCCCAGTATACCTCACAGCCAAAGAGTTTCTCCACACAGGTACTCCTGTGAGAGAGTTTTGGGATATTGAAAAGACCACCTAGCAAGGAAGTTACTTTTTAACAAATGACAAGAACACAGTTCCTTCCAAAGCTACTTTTGACAACTTCTATGATTCTAAGTTAATAGAAGATGCTGTGTTATCTGCCTTTAATAGATTTTAAAGTAACAGCCGTGTTAGTCTGTATTCGCAAAAAGAAAAGGAGTACTTGTGGCACCTTAGAGACTAAATAAATTGGTTAGTCTCTAAGGTGCCACAAGTACTCCTTTTCTTTTTGCCTTTAATAGAGGAGAATAAGGAAAAAAGGAACTGAAGGGAGGAAAAGGCTCAGAGTGCAACATGAGAAACTCAGGGATTGAATCAAAGTGACGTTCATGCAGATGGATCATCTGTGATTTGAAAAAAGTCTCAAATGGTTGTACCTGTGCTTAAGTCATTATCTGCCAGATATTCAGAAGAACTGAAGTTTGTTTTACATCATTCACCTCCACAGCACACAGTCAAGCTTTACATTGCATTCAAAACAGTTATTCTAACACAGTTCTAAAAGCTCCCTCTTAGGTGTTAAACATTTATATTGCTCTGTGCCACATCCTTCATGCCAGCCACCTCCCAAAGTTATTATAGAAGGAAGTTTAGCTGCTTTAGTGGTCCAGTCTATTTTGTATCTATTAATTTCACAGCAAGGCTCGTTCACTCACTTTGTCACCCTCCCCACCCACCGACTCACTCAAACAAGATTTAACTTCTTTCAGAGGATATTAACTACAAATCCCAACTGCACATTTACCCACCTTGCCTGTTATTTCAGCTCAGCTCCTTGCTTCTGCTGCTGCAGCAGTTCTAATTAGCTTGCTGGCTGGGGTCAGACTGTCCTTCTCAGATTTCAATGGGCTATGACACCACAGTGTACTAGGCCCCTGAGCCAAATTGGATAGGTGTTTTAAATAACAATGCTTCAAGAGCGGAAGAGAAGAAGAGATGGAAAAGGACACATCTGTGCCTCATTTTTATTTGTTCCCCCGCTTGATTAACATTTCATCTGATTTTGCATTCATTAAGAATCTTCAACTTGCTCCACTGTAAATAAGGCAAGATTTTTTTCCCTGTTTAAAATAAATAAATACATTTGGGTGTAGGAAGATTGGGTCTAGCAGCAGTTGTAAAGCCACTCAGGTTATTATTGGGAGCTGGGCTCCCGTTGCCAAGCAACTGCTGTTTGTGGAGCCAGCAGGAAGTTTGTGCACTTGTACAGCGCAGGTATGAGCTGGATTCCCAGAGACAATGGGATTTTGTTTGGTGGTTTCTTTTGGGTACATTCATTTCCCACTCATTATTAAATACAAATGTTAGAATCTCCCTCTGCCTTTTGCTGAACAATGATGCATGAGTTGCTAATTAGACAGCGAGGGTGTTGGTAGGATTAACGGCTTTAGCATTTGCAAATTATCTTGCACGCAGGAAATCGTTTTGCTTTGTATTTAGCTTCAGAAAAGCAGTTGCCACTTGCTGCTGCTGCTCTACGCTGATGTATTTTTTTGCTGCACTCTGGGCTGCACGAGCTCTTTATTAGAACTTCCTTGAATAATACATTTTGGGCCTGACCTTGCTTTCTTACCTTAGGCAAAACTATTGATTTCAATTGGCATTTTGTGTGAGGCGTGGCCATGGGACTAGGTACTTGTAGCACAAGCGTGCATATATCTGCCTACATGCACATGCGTCATCTTTAGGATCAAAGTTTGGCTCAGGTAAATCCAAGGTCCCCAGCAAAGTCATTTGAATGGGGCTCTCCTTCTGCATGATCCAGGATTCTGTGTGTGATCTGTCTCAAACTGCTCTGCCATGTGCAAGCTGGGAGAAGACAGGGACTATGCCCATAGCTATTGCATGTGTTTAGGGATGCAAGGGGCAAAGGGATAGTAGATCAAGGTTTCCTTCTAACCAGGAGGAGGAAGCGTGTGAAGGGAAACCTGTGATATACCCCTGCCAGCTCCCCCACTGGAGCTGCAATTGGAAGAAACATCCTTATTTTCAAGAGAGTCCCAGTTATCCTCATACAGCCTAGGGTCACCGCAAAGCAGCTTGTATACCACTCATTAATCTGGCTTTCAAACTCACTTGGATCAAGCCCCCTACAACTGCTAATAGTGTTTCCATTCCCTGATCTGTATTCTCATAGACTGTATTACCCATTTATTGAAACCTCAAATTCACTTACAGAATTTCCACTGATAGAACCAATTTATCTAACTGGTATAATTCCCCTAAAAATCGCTGGAAACTCAGTCACTTTCAACTCCACCTGGAGTCTCACAATGTCCCATAAACTGTTACAGAATAGTTATGGAGATTTTCTGCAAGGAGGAGGACCTGTTTACATGAGAGAGTACAAATGGATCTCATAGAGGTTGTCTAGAGAATCTATTTATCTTCAGTATATCATCTTCATTAGATTAGCATAACAAAATCCCTCAGAAGTTTATGAAGTTTTTGGCTCTTCTCTCTTTTCTGGTTACTATTGGAAGTAATGCTTGAAGTAGAGGACGGTTTGGAAGGTCTGGGAATAAGAACACTTCTTGTAATTGTTATCCTGGTTATGATGGAAATGTTCTCTCAAAGAGATTTTGTAGTATAAACTAAATGTCATAAAACATCTATATTCTATAGCCTCATTCCTTGACCAAGAATGGTGAGCTTTCAGTCATTCATTCTGTTTTGAACTCTTCATGTACACTGACAGGATTGCATTATTTTGGCTATACTATTCAAAGAATTTAGGATAATAAAATGTATCTGAAAAGGCAACAAAAATCACCTTCAGAGAATGGTTAAGAAATTCAAGGTGGATGCTAGTTGCCTTTAGGGTCTGCCTGAGGATCTCTAAACATCCGGCAACTGTGTGCATCAGGAATTTTTGTATATGTTAGAGACAATTTAGATTGCAATGCAGAACTAAATTTGGGGTTCTGGCCCAGCTCTAATTCTGATAGTTATTTTATTAATATTATATTACTATTATATTAATTCCAACCTCCAAGATCAAGGGGAGAGAGCAAGAGAGAGAGTTTAAATAATTATAAAGAGTAACTGACATTTTATCATAATTTTGGATCAGGCATTTCTGATTTCACAATGAAATCAGTCAGTGAAACAAATCAAATGGCAGCTAGAGACAGTTGATCCTATTTCAAAATCTGAAGGAAATGGAGACAACTGGTGGTTTTATTAAGAGTAAGAGATGTATACATTGGAGGTTAATTAAAACTGCATGACAAAGCAGGAGAGAGTATTCCAGTTCCATCTGGGGCCACAGGATATATCAAGCCAAAAGCACATCACTGGAATAAACTCCCATTGGTCAGTCATGTCTTAAAGGATATGATGTTATTGCTAGCTGCTAGTGGATGATCTAGTGTTATATAAAATTTAACCTTTTATTGGGTGTCACACTTACACTGCAAGGAACATCCATTTGCATGGATTGTTGCTTAATGAAGGTTAGATCTCCATAGGGGAAGGGAGTTTTGTATTTTACTGGAGGCTGAGTTCTGCTGTCTCTTGGGTGCATGCTGCTATTCAATTTTGAGCCTTGTAACCTGTGAGATGGGTGCATAGGGCCTTATATAAGTGCCCCTCTTCACAATTATATCCAAAGAACTACTACTAATGTCTCAATACAATGACATTTATTTTTTCCTGGGTGTTCAGCTTTGGTTAATTCATTCATTTTAGCTTCAGTATTCACCAAAAGAAAGGAAGTGCTCTGTGAAACTCAAAAGCTTGTCTCTTACATCAAAAGAAGTTGGTCCAATAAAAGATATTATCTCACCCCCCTTGCCTTAAAGAAAAGAAATGACATTTACAGAACCATATATTTTCAAGTCTCATTATCATTCTTAAGGGGATTATGGGACATTATGGGACGTTTCTGGAGGCTGATCAGAGCACAGTAATACAACACCTCGTTCACACTGATGCTGGGGTGTTTCAGCCGATGCGTAGCAAGTGTGATGCTTCTCGTGGAGGTGTATTACCAGGAGTGCTCCAGCTGCAGAGTCCAGGCACTCTAAGTGCCTTGTCAGTGTGGACAGGTCATGAGAATTAGGGCACCTGAGGCTGCTTTAATGCACTCTAATTTGCAAGTGTAGCCAAGCCCTTAGAGTAAAACCCATTCCCTGCCCCTCTGACAGAATCATTAGGAAGTAACTACAAAGTTTTTGCTTATAGTTTCCTGTCCTCCACTCAAGCCTGTACTGGATGATCTGACCTAAGGAAAGGTTCAGGTGAAGACCGAGGTTGGGGGATAAAGCACACTATACTGGAGGAAGAAAACAATTGTCAAATGGAGCGCCAACTCAGATGTTTCTTGGGTGATGGGAAATTCTGGTGTCCTCTGTCAGCAGGGATCCCATTCCAGTCTCTGCTTCCCCCCTCATTCCTCCCATAGGGACCCCAGGTCTCCCTCTGCTGGGGAGTCACTCCTCTCTCACCCACTCAGAGCATGAGCTGGTGCTGCCAGGAGTCAAGTTCTTGATGGATTCTCCAGCGCTCTGCCGTAGGTACAGACTCTCTGCACCCTGTCACAACATTTGAAACAGCCGGCCCCCCAGATTTGAGCCGCATTGCCACCTGGCACACAGGATTGCAATGCCACTTGCAGAAATTTGGCCAGCACTGCATTTGAATGGAGGGGTGGCTGGGTCAAATATCAACAGCATAGTGACCACACAGCCGGAGCAACACTTATGCTCCTGACTGCTCCAGCAACAGTCATACTGATTTAATATGGGACCACTGCTTAAAAGTGACCGAGCCACTCCCTCTCCCCCCCCCCCCCCCCCCCCCCCCCCGAGCTCCACAGCCTATGGAACATTGAGCATGGGCAAACCATCTTGGGACAGGGGGAAAGGGGCAAAAAGCCCCCTTCCAGTCCCCACTAATTGGAGCCACTGAAATAGAGGAAGCTGACTGTGGTGTAAGAAGAGATCATGAGGCTATCAGGAACTGCTAGGGTTGCCAATTTTGGTTGGACGTATTTCTGGAGGTTACATCCCATGACATAATCTTTAATTAAAGATTAATCTTTAATCCCTGGAGACTCCAGGGCAATCCTGGAGGGTTTGCAATCCTGGGTACTGCCTCTCTCAGAGCCCATCTCTCATCAGATCTTCACAGCAGTACAAAGATCAAAACAACCCTCCCCCAAAACCCCTCACCACTCCTGAAATACCACAAGCTAGTGACAACAAATGAAAAAAGAAAAGGAGTATTTGTGGCACCTTAGAGACTAACAAATTTATGTTAGCATAAGCTCACAAAAGCTTACACTCACATAAATTTGTTAGTCTCTAAGGTGCCACAAGTACTCCTTTTCTTTTTGCAAATACAGACTAACATGGCTGCTACTCTGAAACAAATGAAAAGGCTGTCTGTGGTATGGCTGACCTGGGGCCATGCCAGCTAGATGAATTCCTAAAAGATGAGAAGGAAAATAGCTCAGGTATAGTTCTTGTGTTTCTTTAACTTCCTGCACACATCCCTAAGAGACTGCATTTGCTATAATACAAATCAAACTCATATCAGCATCAAACTGAGTGGTAGATGCATGCCCCCAAATGTGAGTTGATAACCATTCAGCAGTTTAGGTTTACTTTGACACAGAAAAGTCCATAAGCAGCTAGATCTTTTCTGTCATATCCTTAATCAATAGAATATTTTACCTCCTTTAATGTGTTGAGTCTTTAAGACTTTGTTAAGAAATGGTTTGAAAAAAAAAGGGGAAAATTTAAGGAGAATATATCACAGATTTCTTTGCATATTAAATTGAAAAAGTTTCCCAAGTGAAAAGGTGGGAGCTTCATTCATTAGGATATTTGAAATTGAAATGGACAAAGGATTAGTTAATTTTAAAAAATCTTGCACTAGCTAGGGTGGGGGACAAGCTAAATAAACTAAAATTTTCTACTTCACATTTCTACTACACTATTAGTTTAGTTTAGCTATTTAGGAAACAGCCTCTCTCCTTTTCAAGACTCTGCCTTTGTTTCTAAAGGGCTCATTCTGTTTCCTCTCTTCTCAAAGAGCCCTCTTGCTCTCTGACACACTGTTTCTCTGTCTCTGCTTGCTATTGGTAACAAAGA